AATCACTCAATCACTAAAGCGTCACACGACACGTGTTCAGCAACACGTCTAACACGCATCACTAAAGCGTCACACGACACGTGTTCAGCATCACTAAAGCGTCACACGACGTGTTCAGCAACACGTCTAACACGCATCACTAAAGCGTCACACGACACATGTTCAGCAACACGCCTAACACGCATCACTAAAGCGTCACACGACACGTGTTCAGCATCACTAAAGCGTCACACGACACGTGTTCAGCAACACGTCTAACATGCATCACTAAAGCGTCACACGACATGTGTTCAGCAACACGTCTAACACGCATCACTAAAGCGTCACACGACACATGTTCAGCAACACGCCTAACACGCATCACTAAAGCGTCACACGACACGTGTTCAGCATCACTAAAGCGTCACACGACACGTGTTCAGCAACACGTCTAACATGCATCACTAAAGCGTCACACGACATGTGTTCAGCAACACGTCTAACATGCATCACTAAAGCGTCACACGACATGTGTTCAGCAACACGTCTAACACGCATCACTAAAGCGTCACACGACACGTGTTCAGCATCACTAAAGCGTCACACGACACGTGTTCAGCAACACGTCTAACACGCATCACTAAAGCGTCACACGACATGTGTTCAGCAACACGCCTAACACGCATCACTAAAGCGTCACACGACACGTGTTCAGCAACACGTCTAACACGCATCACTAAAGCGTCACACGACACGTGTTCAGCATCACTAAAGCGTCACACGACACGTGTTCAGCAACACGTCTAACACGCATCACTAAAGCGTCACACGACATGTGTTCAGCAACACGTCTAACATGCATCACTAAAGCGTCACACGACATGTGTTCAGCAACACGTCTAACACGCATCACTAAAGCGTCACACGACACGTGTTCAGCATCACTAAAGCGTCACACGACACGTGTTCAGCAACACGTCTAACACGCATCACTAAAGCGTCACACGACATGTGTTCAGCAACACGCCTAACACGCATCACTAAAGCGTCACACGACACGTGTTCAGCAACACGTCTAACACGCATCACTAAAGCGTCACACGACACGTGTTCAGCATCACTAAAGCGTCACACGACACGTGTTCAGCAACACGTCTAACACGCATCACTAAAGCGTCACACGACACGTGTTCAGCAACACGTCTAACACGCATCACTAAAGCGTCACACGACATGTGTTCAGCAACACGTCTAACACGCATCACTAAAGCGTCACACGACACGTGTTCAGCATCACTAAAGCGTCACACGACACGTGTTCAGCAACACGTCTAACACGCATCACTAAAGCGTCACACGACATGTGTTCAGCAACACGCCTAACACGCATCACTAAAGCGTCACACGACACGTGTTCAGCAACACGTCTAACACGCATCACTAAAGCGTCACACGACACGTGTTCAGCATCACTAAAGCGTCACACGACACGTGTTCAGCAACACGTCTAACACGCATCACTAAAGCGTCACACGACACGTGTTCAGCAACACGTCTAACACGCATCACTAAAGCGTCACACGACACATCTAATACGCATCACTAAAGCGTCACATGTTCAGCAACACGTCTAACACGCATCACTAAAGCATTACACAACACATCTAATACGCATCACTAAAGCGTCACATGTTCAGCAACACGCCTAACACGCATCACTAAAGAATCACGTGTTCAGCAACACGCCTAACACGCATCACTAAAGCGTCACGTGTTCAGCAACACGTCTAACACGCATCACTAAAGCATCACATGACACATCTAATACGCATCATGTTGGAGAGAGCGTTTAAATCTAATTAACAGAGAGAGAGAGAGAAATGAGGAGCGCGGCAGAGGAATTATTCAGCTCCTGCATTCCCAAAATAGAGGAATATCACAGGAGAGTGTGTGTGTGTGAGAGAACGAAAGCAGAGAGAGAGTGAGAACGAGTGAGGAAACTCAATCGACTCCTACAGTCGTCCCTCATGCTGAAGGTGCTGTAAATCATTTCAGTTGTTTTACTAACTTCATTCTCACAGCTTTTCTTTAAAACTCACATCAGGAAAATAAGAGAGTTCTGATCAAACTAAACCTTAATGTTCAGGATGATTGGCAGGAAAAGAGTGTTTCTGATTGGCTACATAAGCACAGGCCACTCCCACTGGACACTCCTGTGCTGCTCAAACATACCGGTAATAAAAAAAATAAAATAAAAAAAATACAAAATACATATCATTAAAAAAAAAAAAAAAAAAAAAAAAAGATCAATCAAAACATTAAAAAAGTAAAATAAAATAAAATAATAATAAAAAATTATATAAATAAATAAATAAAAAATATAAAAATAAAATTACAAAGTAAAATATAATTAAATAAAAACAATGAAAAAAACTAAATTAAAATCTGGATCTTCCTGCTGAATGGAGACAGAGGCGATTAGAGGAAGAGGACGATGATGAAGGCTAACAGCAGAGATGGA